TTGCTGAGTTTGTACGTTGTGTTAACCTAACAGTCCACAGCTGCAACACTATTAAGCAGAAAAAAGAGAACAAATTAGTGGGATGGTTTACAGTTAATAGAGGAAAAAAAGAAAGAAAGAGAGCACATAGAAAAAAATTAGAAAGGTAGCAACAGATGTAAAAGAAACTAACTATTTTAACACAAAGAAGACAAAGAAAATCTACATTGAAAAAGACAGAGAACAAATTTTTTAGGGCATAAAAGATGAAGAAAACGAAGAGAACTTACAGATGTAAAAGTGAGCAACTTTATTAGCAAGACGAAGAGATTTAAGAGCAAGCTTCATTTATAAAATTGAAAAAAAGACTTTAGAGAGCGGTTCTCTATTAACTGCTTTCAAAAGTATACATTAGAGAGCGGTTCTTTATCAACCGCTCTCAAAAGTGTGTGACTTTAGAGAGCGATTAACTAATAACTGCTCTTAGAAGTATACATTAAAGTGCGTTCTCTATTAACCGCTCTTAGAAGTGTATATTAGAGAGCGGTTTAATATTAACCGCTCTTAGACATATACCTTTGAGAGCGATTCAACGCTAACCGCTCTCTAAATATATTATTATAAAGCGATTCATACTAACCGCTGTTTAAGTTAGTGCTTCAAAAGCTCATTTCTGTTATAGTGATGACATATATATTTTATTGCAATTACTACTTAGAATTTTTTTTAATACTATAAGGTAAACTACATATTATTTATAACATTTAGGTGAGTTATTTATATTTATATGAAATTGATATAAGTTATTTAATTTTAGTAAGTTCTTTAGACTAGTAATAAAAGGTAATATGAGTTTAATAAGTTGAAATTGGGTTTAAGCCCACTAGAGGACAATGAGAATTCTAGTAGGTTTAAAATAGAAAGTGTAATCTTGGTCTCCAATACATCGTATAAGAAAAGTTTGATGTATGCTTAAATATAAGTTTAATATTGATCAAAACCTTGAAATTAACTTGAAAGACGACTTCCTCATCCTCCAGTCTCAAGGTAAGTGTTCCTTCTTGGATGTCTTTGAGGGCTTTTGCAATGGCTAAGAAGGGTTTGCCAAAGATGATAAGAACATCACCATCCTTCACCATGTTAAGTACTACAAAATTTGCAGGAAAGAGGAATTCTTCAACTTTCAGAAACTCATTTTTTACTATTCCTAATTGACCTATATGCTAACTGAAGTGACACGGAGGTCGATTTTGGTTTATGCGTCCCGAGCTTCTTAAAAATATAATAAAGCATAAGGTTAATACTTGCTCTTAATCACATAAAGCCTTATCAATATTAGTATTTCCAATGGTGTAAGAAACAGTAAAACTCCCAGAGTCTTGAAGCTTAGGTGGAAGATTTTTAAGGACTATAGTTGAGCATTCTTCATTAAGCTTCATGGTCTCGTGTACTCTCAACTTTCTCTTATTGGTCAAAATTTTCTTAAGAAACTTAGCGTATCTGGGCATTTTGGAGATAACGTTAATGAACAGCATATCAATATGCACTTTACCCAACAACTCTAAAAATTTGTTAAACTCTGCATCATGAGAAGGATGGTATTATAGTCGCTGTGGGAAAGATATCTTAGACTCATAGGGCTTTTGGCTATGTAGAAGACTTTTCTTTCTTTTCTTCTTTAGGCTTTGCTCTTAAAGCACCACCATGCTTGTTGTTTCTGCATGGGCGTGCTTGTCTAAGTACAATCATGCTTCTATTGCAGCAAGGACATGCTCATCAGTAAGCACGGGAGTGCCTATAGAGGAAACATGGGCGTGCATGTGCTTTTTGTCCTGCGATTCTTGCACATTCTTCTCGCTTCCTAGAGCAATGGTGTTGCATTGCTCCTTTGAATTATGTTTAGCTTAAGATAGTAAAGTTTTCATAACTCTTTGAGTTAGAATATGTGTGATTTATTCTAATTAAGATGGCAATGTTTGCATGATTAACTAAGTCTTGGGTTATGGGAATTCTTGTTTATGAATTTATGGGATTTTGAAGTTTGAATCTAAGTTCGATTTATGTCTGTGATTAGTATTTATCCTATTGCGCATAATTGTATAACCTAATTAACCATATCGTCAGACGACCATACCTTGATTAGTTAATGAATCTATAGGATAAAACGAGACAAAGGATTAGTTGGATCAAACCAATCTTTCTCTTCCAATCATTATTAAATTAAAAGTTTATAAATGCTTTCATGTTTTCTTGAATTAATATCTTGCATGATCATTGTAGATGTTAGTTTAGAGAAAAGAATGTTAACATTTCATGACCATTGAGTATTGATAGTATTTATATGAATAATTAATAATCACAAGAAAATCAAATTAAAAATAAACAAAAAAATAACATAAAGGATTGAATGAGAAAACTCATATATCATAGGTTCCTCTTTTATAATTTTAACCAAGATGTGCATATTGTTACTTGTTTCTATTCACGAATGATTTTATAATTGAATTCTTATTTTTATTTAATTTTGCATCCTTTAGACTCAAACAATTGAATTAGGAAATTCTTAATAATTGGAACCAATCCTAGTAGGACGATAATTTTGAAAACTTATTTTAGAACTATATATTACTTTTTGACGAGTGCACTTGTCACCAAACATATATTTCGCATAGTACGATGTTTCACTGTGTATGCTTCTTTGAAATAATCATCAAATGGTGTATTGAAAAACTTAAATTCGAAGAGTTTTAACTTGTTTACTAGTCCATTTTTGGACCATAGTCTTTCTCACTCGTTGAATTGTTTAAACACCTCATCCTTGGTATTTAGAAAGTACACCTAAACCTTCCTAGAGTAGTCATTAATAAATGTAAAAAAATACTTGTATCTTCAATTGGACTCTACTAGAGAATGACTCTATAAATCAAAATGAACATATTGTAGGATTTTTATAGAAGTGTGCTTGCGATGACCAAACTTTAGTCTGCGTTGTTTGTCCATAACATATGACTTATGAAATTTCAATTTTTTAGTCACTTCTCCATTCAACAATCTACATTTGCTTAGCACTACAAGTTCTTTTTCATTCATATGCTCTGCTCTAGAATGCCACCACAATTATGTATTATTAGTATGCTGTTCTAAAGGTTCAAATAAAGGTTTTTTTATTTGATTAATGCAATAATTTGATGTGACCAATATTATTTATTTTAGGCAAGAAAGAAAGAGATAAAAAAAAGAAAATATTTTTTTAAAAATAAAACAATAATGTAATAATAAATAAAATAATAATCAAATAGATAAAAAAAATAAATGTAAAAAATGAGTCTGAAAAAATTTAAAATCTTAAAATTAAAATTTAGAGTTTTTGTCCTTGCTTAAAAGTCAATAGTTAAGATAAAAAAAAATTGAAATTTAGCCATGTATAAATTTGACCTAGAACTATTACATAAAAATAATATTATTTAGAAAAGAATAAAAATATTCAATTATTACAACTATTTAGGCCAGTGTTTCCGAAGCAAAGTGAGTAAATAAAGTTTCCATTTGTAATAAAAACAGAACTATAGTGTCTAGTTGTTTAAAATTCTGAATCAAGTTTATACGGTTTCTAACCTACAAAACAACTTTCAAAGCCTTTGTTTTTCAAACAAGCTCTTTTTAAAGTGCATAAAGGAAGTTTAAAAGTATTGTGTGTTTGTCTACTTGAAGAAATTATAGGATAATGAAAATTTGAGACGTAATTAATGCCGATAATTTTGTGACTTAAAGCAAATTTATTCCTACGATTATTTTTAATAAAAAATTAATAAAAAGTAGAATAATAAATTTTTAGTAGCAAACAACATTACTTTTATAGAGAACGATTATTATGCATATATATAGTTTTAGTCACGAAAGATTAAAAACCAATAATAAAGTGCCATTAAGATGCATATCATATTAGAGTTGATAGATGTTCAATCATGTGAGATATTTTTCTACAAAGACCAATGATTTTATGCATTTTTCTCTATGTATGATTGATCAACGTAATTTTAGTAGAATATCATAATTCATTTATAGATAAATCAATACAAAATTTCTACATTGCAAATTAAGTTAGAAAATCTAGATGCAAATAAGCACCCATTTTTTTTATACATTATTACATATTCTCTTTTTTGCCTTACGTTAATTTACATGGTTATATATTATCAATTGTATATAATATAAAAATAAGTAATTTAACTGATGAATAATGTTATATTATTTTTGTAATTATAAATATATATATATATATATTAAATTTTATATAATTTAAATATTTGTAGTCTAATTATGTTATTTAAAATTTAATATCTATTCATATTTTAATTTTATAAAGTTAATTTACTAAATAAAAATTTTTAAATTAATAATTAAATTGATTAAATTCACCTAAGTATCCAAATTAAATACATACTGTCAGCGGATTTATATATATATTAGACTTAACTCATGCCTACGATTTTTTTTAACAAAAAACAATTTTGTTCTACAATTATTTTTTATAAGAAATTTAATAAAAAAAATATATAGAATAATGAACATTTTAAAGGTAACAAACATTATTTTCACAGAGAACGATTATTATACTAAATATTAATTCTTACTCACTCAAGATTAATAAGCAATAGAAAAAGGCCATTAAAGATGCCATATGTTAATTGATAGATGTTCAATTACGTAAGATATACTTCTACAAAGACCAACGATTTTACTTTATGCATGCATGATTAGAACGAAATGGAAAGAGGATAGTAATATACAAGGAATAATTATCTTTTTCATTTGCCAAGTCTCTTTTACTTTTCACTTTGTAGTGTTTCACGTTTTAATTTGTCGTCGCAGGAAAGAACCGAGAACATGCCCACTCAGCCGTACAATTGTGATTATAAATCCTGCCATGGAGTTCACACCCTTCACAAGCAAAAGAGAAAAAACTATCTCACAGTCTTCCAGCGTTGTTTTGCGATATGTTCTTAATTAGCAAAATTAAAATGAGCACTTATTTTCTCTTAATCTTTTATGCTCTTCTGCTTCTTTTATTGCATACCTCAGAGTCTTCTCTTGATGTAAAGTGCATAGAGAGGGAGAAACAAGCACTCCTCAACTTCAAACGAGGCCTCCATGATCCTTCTGGCATTCTCTCTACATGGAAAGATGATGATTCCAATGGAGACTGTTGCATATGGAAAGGCATTGAATGCAACAATGAAACAGGTCATGTTCACACGCTTGATATTCATGGTCATGATGATATTCAATACTTGAAAGGTACAATTAACATCACTTCATTGATTGACTTGCAATACATTGAACATTTCGACCTCAGCTATAATGATTTCCGTGACCAAATCACAAAAGACATTGGCTCCCTCAATAACTTAAGATATCTCAATCTATCATATTCTGGTTTTGTTGGGAGGCTTCCTCTTGAACTAGGAAACCTCTCACAGTTGGAATATCTTGATCTTAAAGTAAATTCTCTTGTTGCCGCAATCCCTTCTCAACTCGGAAAACTCACAAGTTTACGATATCTAGATCTAAGTGACAATTATTTTGATGGAGAAATCCGATATCAGTTTCAAAATCTTTCACTATTGCAATATCTTGATCTTCAAGAAAATTCTCTTGTTGGAGCAATCCCTTCTCAACTAGGGAAACTCACAAGTTTACGATATCTAGATCTAAGTGGCAATTATTTTGAAGGAGAAATCCCATATCAGTTTCAAAATCTTTCACTGTTGCAATATCTTGATCTTAACGGAAATTCTCTTGTTGGAGCAATCCCTTTTCAAATTGGGAATCTTCCAGTCCTGCATACTCTTAGACTTGGTGGCAATTTTGATCTTAACGATGCAAAGTGGTTCTCTACTCTCTCTTCTTTAACAACTCTTGACCTGAGTTCATTGCATAATCTTGGTTCCTCTTATCACTGGGTACAAACGATGAGTAAGCTCATTCCAAACCTGAGAGAGTTGAGGCTATCTGACTGTGGTCTTTCAGATGATAATGTTTCATCTTTGTTTCATTCTCATTCCAACTTTTCCACTTCTCTTACCATCCTTGACCTCTCTTCTAATATGCTGACATCGTCAACACTTCAGTTATTGTTTAACATTCCATCTCTTATGAGCCTTCGCCTCTCTTTTAATAATCTGACATCATCAATATTTCATGGTAACCTCAACTTCAGCTCCAAATTAAAAGAGTTGTATCTAAGAAACTGCAGTCTTATGGATGGAAGTTTTCTCGTGTCATCCGATGCCATTATCAATTCTTCATCTTCTCTTGTCACACTTGATCTCTCCTTGAATCTGTTGAAATCGTCGGCTGTATTTCATTGGCTTTTTAACTGCACCACCAATCTTCGTACACTTTATCTTTATGAGAACTTGTTAGAAGGTCCCATTCCAGATGGATTTGGGAAAGTAATGAACTCTCTTGAAGTCCTCGGGCTTTCTTCTAACAAACTTCAAGGAGAGGTTCCATCTTTCTTTGGGAACATGTGCGCATTGCAGGGATTATCCCTCTCAGGTAACAACTTGAGTGGAGAAATGTCAAGCTTCATTCAAAACTCTTCATGGTGCAATAGACACCTATTTCAGAGTTTGGATTTATCTAATAACAGGATTACAGGCATGCTACCTAAAAGCATTGGATTGTTGTATGAGTTGGTGTATCTGTCCCTGGCGGGGAATTCTTTGGAAGGTGACGTCACTGAGTCACATCTCACTAATTTCTCCAAATTAAAATGGTTGGATTTGTCGTACAACTCACTGTCTCTAAAATTTGGCTCTAGCTGGGTCCCTCCTTTCCAATTAATCATCTTGAGACTAGCATCTTGCAAGTTGGGTACGAGTTTTCCCAGTTGGCTCAAGACTCAAAGTTCCTTATCATCGTTGGATATTTCTGATGCCGGGCTTCGTGACTCCGTGCCAGACTGGCTTTGGAACAACTCACCATATATGGGACAATTGAATATGTCTTACAACAATCTAACAGGTACAATTCCAAATTCCCCATTCAAGCTTCCTTCTAGACCGTCCATAATTCTGAATTCAAATAATTTTGAGGGTGGAGTTCCATCTTTTTTTAAACAAGCATCGGAGCTGAAGCTTTCCGAAAATAAATTTTCAGATTTATTTTCATTTTTATGTGACAAAAGCGTTGCTGCAAACTTGGGCATGTTGGATATATCAAACAATCAAATTAAGGGACAATTGCCAGATTGTTGGAAATCCGTCCGATCATTATTGGTTCTTGATTTAAAAAATAATAATTTGTCAGGAAAGATTCCAACTTCGATGGGCACCCTTGTTAAATTGAAAGCTTTGGTTTTACGGAACAATAGTTTATCAGGTGAATTTCCTTCCTCTTTGAAGAATTGTGGCAATTTAAAGTTGTTGGATGTCAGTGAGAATTCGTTGTCTGGTCCAATTCCATCATGGATTGGTGAAAATATGCAGCAATTGATAGTTTTGAGCATGCGAGAGAATCACTTCTCTGGGAACGTTCCTATTCATCTCTGTTATTTAAGACACATTCAACTGTTGGATCTTTCGATGAATAACTTATCAAAAGGAATTCCAAAGTGCTTAAATAATTTTACTGCAATGTCTAGACAGAGCATCAACTCAAGCGAAACTCTATCTCAGCTATACTGGTACAATAGAACGTACTATGCAATTTATGGTTTTTTCATGATCAGTACCGGTGATTACACACTGAACATAACATTGACGTGGAAAGGTGTGGAATGTGGGTTCAAGAATCCAAAGTTGAGTTTAACGATCATTGATCTCTCGAGTAATAATTTAACAGGTGAAATACCAAAGGAGATTGGATATTTGCTTGGGTTAGTTTCCTTGAATTTATCAAGAAACAATCTGAGTGGAGAAATTCCTTCTGGGATTGGCAATTTAAGCTCATTAGAATTTATTGATTTGTCAAGAAATCATTTATCTGGTGAAATTCCTTCTACTCTTTCAAAAATTGATCGTTTAACGAGGCTAGACGTGTCACATAATTCCCTGCATGGAAGAATCCCTCTGGGAAGACAGTTGCAGACATTTGATGCCTCTAATTTTGAAGAAAATAGTGATCTTTGTGGTGCACCGCTTCCCAAAATTTGTCCAGGAGATGAGACCACACTAAAGCCTCATGGATCAACAAATCCTAGTGAAAATCAAGATAACAATTCACTTTTCTATGGCACGTTTTATATGAGCTTGGGATTGGGATTCTTCACAGGCTTTTGGGGCTTATTAGGACCAATACTGTTCTCCCAACCTTGGAAAAAATGTTACATCAGATTTTTGAACAAAGTCACTGACTATATGTAATGATAGTAACCAATTGGGAAAAGTGTCCCTTTGGATCTCAAAGCCTAGCAGGTATGTAATACTAATTGCTTCTGGTATTTAATTTGGCAATTTTTTTAATTTAAATATATTTTCATCCTTATATTTTCATCCTTGGAAAAATTAATATAAAACGATTTCTGAATAGTTTGTTATCACTAAAAACTAAAAGTATTGATTTAAACTAAGTGCTTTCCATAATTGAAATATTGAAATCTGAATATTATTTATTTAGTTCAGTTAAACTAAGATGTTAAATGATGGTTTTTTATATAATTTTTAATTGTTCTCATAGAAACTTTTAAACTTGGATATTTCAAGATGGTCCCCTTTTATGTTATTTTTAAAATAAAAATATATTATCTGTTGTTTTAATATTTTAAAAAAACATATATTAAAATTAAAATTAACAAATAATATATTGTAAAATAACATAACATATAATAAAAAAAAGCATATATTATATATCTTAATTTATGTTAATTTCAAAAGAAATTGAGAAAATAAAATAAAAAATTCTAAAAAAGTGTAGTGAGTTAAATTTTAACTTTTAGAACTATATGTTAATTGATACATTTTTCGTTTCTTTTATGTAATAACTAAAATCCTGTTTCTAATCTATTTCTCCACCATTGATGTTTGTATGTTGCCAGAAAATCTGTAGTTCTATTGCTTAGTTAAGCACTTATGATATGGGAGGAAAGCATCAATAACTTTTGCTGGAAATTGAAGATCTGAATTATCATTAGTTGAATAAATGGCTAGCAAAATCACTATTTCATGAAAGTAATGATTTGATAGTGTTTTCTTGTATAACCTTTTTGTAAGTTTTCTCTTTTAATTCTGCTCAAGTCCCCCGTTGAATAATCGTACACCATATATCAATAGCATATTAATAATTTTATTGGAATAAGAAAGTTTATTATTTTTCTTTTCTTATTAGTCATTAAATTAAATTATTAATTTCTTAATAATTAATGATTCTCCTCTGCAATATTGACAATCATTTTTTAACATTGGCAGATAAGCAATTTTAGATATGTTTCAAAATAATTATTTTTTTAAAAACTCAAATATTACAACCTTTTAGTTGTTTCAGAATTTTTTAATTGTTCTAATAAATAAAATAATTCATCCTCTGTTAAAAAAAATTAGATAAACTTTATCTCTATTATATTAAACAAGATTTCTAATTAAAATGTTATGTATATTTTTTTAAAAAGCATATATCATTGCTAAAACAAATGTATTACCCGCAGCTATTTTTTGTTTTAAAAGAGATTTAAACCCCTAATATTTCTCCTTGTTGAAAAAACCTAATTAATGCATTTACTGCAATTTAAAAACCCCCAAATAATGCTTATCGTTACTCGTACGTTAAAAAACCTGTTAATATTATTACTTTTTATTCATATCTTCAACTTCGACCAAATCTTCACATACAAAAGGAGTAATTAGGTAGACTTAGGTTGTTTAAATTGGAATAAAAAGGATATATTACCTATAATATCATTTGGACTTAGTTTTTACATTTAAATGCATTAAAAGTCAAATAATTTTCTAGCTCTTTTGTACAAGATTATCAACTCTGCACTGTTATCTTTAAAAAACTTCTTTGTCTTGGTCTTAGATATGTTCTCTGTCACGACCCCAAGGCAGGGTCATAAACATAACCCGTTAAATCTCAGCAAAAACACAGTAAATCACCCTAATTGGATGTTCATGAACAGTCATCAAAAGAAATCAACATGCATTATTTGAAAATCATCCTTAACCATATAAGTATTACAAAATATGACTTAGTTGTCAATACAAATATTGATTACAACAAAAAATTAATACATGAGAAAAATCATAATGTATCCTAATGCCTAGTCCTCCGCATCTCCATCAGCTACTCCGGTCAGCCTGGGAAGCCGAAGCCTCACCTGCCTGATCTGCTCACGTACCAAAGTACGGTCATCGCAGCACAACATTACAACAACAACAATTGCAAGGGTGAGCTTACAAAAAAAAAAAAACAACATATCAAAATAGGGTAATCTAAGCAAACAGCAAGAAACAGCAAATGTAGCCCATGCAGCCCAGCCCAGCTCATGCTCATGCAGTAATGAGAAACAGTACCCATCTGGCCCTTAACAGCATATTTAGTGGGTCCAGAGGAACTGTGCTGGTCCGGGAGCAACCTATTCCAGTATTTGGATCCAGATAGTACAACTCAGTTTTCTAAAGCCACATGACTACCACCTAGCATGTGACACAGTGCCTATCATGACAGCCCTATTCAGCTCTAGAATGATGCAGCAACCAGCATATTAATAATTTCAGCAATAGTAATTATATAATAGCTCAGCTAATTTAGCAATTTTCAGCAAGTACAACATTATTAACTCAGCAAACAGCCCAACAATTTACTACGCGTCATATTTAGCATATTAGGTCATCCTCCCTAGGGTTTTCACAACATACAACCACAATACTCTAACATTCAGCTATCAAATTACTTCTCCTAGAGTTCAACAACAATCAATCACATCAACACAACAATTTTATTCCAAAACGCAACTCTAACTCTCTCTCAACACCTCTCATCACTCCCAAATCATCAAAATGACCTAGGGCAAGCTCCCCTTACCTCAATCCGGTGTTTTTCAAGGTGCTCTTGGTTAAACAAGTCTAAAATCCGCAAGAACTTCCCTACAAACGCAGCCAAGCTCAGAAAATCGAGTGTGGATTGGAGAAATTCAAGAAAATTCCCAAAAAGGAAACTATAGAACTTACCAAAAATGACTTCCAATCGCTCCCTTCGGCCTAGAATCACACAAGAGATTGGGTTTTTCTAGTGATTTGGGGCAGAAATCAACCGAAAAGGCAAAGGGAAGAAGAGAGAGGTTGAGGGTTTTGAAAAATACCCACGCGCAGCTCTCCATGAACCCTTAAATACAGTCTGAAACGTGACGCTCTAGCTACAGCGACAAATTCTCAGAAGAAACTGCACTCTGGTGTCTGCAGAATCTCGTTACAGCGAGACTGTACCCAGAAATGCAGCCCAGACTGTCGCTCTCTCGCTACAGTGAGAAGGCGACAGTCGCATGCCCTTTCTCCCTGGGACCTTCGCTACAGCGAGAATCCCCTCACTGCAGCGACACCACCCTCTCGCCACAGCAAAAAACTCAGAAGAAACTGCACTCTGGTTTCTACAGAATCTCGCTACAGCGAGACTGCACCCAGAATGCGCCTAAACTGTCGCTCTCTCGCTACAGCGAGAAAGCCCTGCACCAGAACTTATGCTACTCATCTCATACCAAATTCAGTCACTACCCAATATATATATATATATATATATATATATATATATATACATATACATCCACATCAGCTCAAACACACAGCACATTCAATTATAATTCAACAATTAATGCAATAAGACAAGATAAACACATTATTCATGGCAAGCATTATACTCAAGTCTTATCATTCTCAACACATACAACCCAAGGCATTACATTCTCTTTTGTGATTATGATACCCCTTCAGGGTCTCATAATCATAGTGGGGGCCTCAATCCACCTACTTATACATTTATATCCTTAAACTCGTGATTCGGGACATTTTTTCAGTAATGACTTGAATCTCTTCCATACTTCACAAAATGATTCATATGCTCCTTGTCTAAAGATAGAAATATATGATTTTGCATGGATAAATCTGGATGATGGGAAAAATCTATTAGAAACTTCTATGCAACATTACTCCAACTAATAAGACTTTGATTTTGGGTGAGATTGTAACCATTGCCCTAGCCTTTCCCACTAAAGGAAAATGGAAATAACCTAAGATACACAGCTTCGTCATCACCTTAGAATGCTTATAATACCACATAATTCATAAAAATTGGATAAAGTGAGTGTAATGATCTTCATGATCTAACTTCTGCAAATTGATGTGCCAGTAACTAGATTTAAAAAGGGTTGACTTTATTTCCATAGTTCTTGTAGTCACGATTGCAATGCTGAAGAAGTGTCTTGGACCTTGTTAGATGGCATAATCCCCCAAAGTTTCTTTGAGGTGGATTTAGACATTGCTTAACCCTTGCGTTATGAAATGAGAGAGTTTGTTTCAGGTTGAGAGTGCGATTGAGATGGACCCTTGTGTTGCTCCTTTTTCTTTTTCTGCTTATATCTCTTTCTAGTTTTACTCTATTCCTCCTAATAGTCCTTCTCAATTTCAGGATCAAAGACCAACCGTTAGGCTGGAGTTTTTCTTCGCATACCAAAACAAAATCTGAGCAAATGGATTAGCACAAGAGTAAATATATATATATATTATATTATTATATATTATAAATGTATGAAAATCAAAGAATTTGAATTTTAATAGGGATAGAAAGAAATTAATAAATATCTAACACAATCCTTGACAACAGCGCCAAAAATCTTGTTATTAAATTTGGCAAGTGTACCAAGTTTTTGAAAGTAACATAAAAGGTTGTCACATCCACAAGGATTGGTAGATATATCAATGACTTCCACTATCCTTTATAAAAATTCTAAATTTTAAACCGATTAAATCAATTTGTTTATAATTGAGAAGTGCAATAAAAGTAAAAAAAAAAACAAAGTAAAATTTAGTGGATAAAAGGTTACGAGTTGAGTTGGGATTGAGTTTCATTCATTATTTCCTTTCTATATTTTTGATGATAAACATGTAAATACTAATATATCAATGTGGATGCACTCTCTCATAAATCCTTATATTGATTCCTCCATACAAGTTTTTAAGAGCATTAAATGGAATAACGATTCCTCAATCATTCAATCAATCCTCCATGCATTAAGTACAAAAGTTGATAAGCAATCAATATATTGGACCCATATTCCTAGAATCACAACACATCTAGTGAGTTCCATTAAATCTGAGTTTAAAGTTGTTTTCCAACTAACCATAAACCCTAGATAAAAGACTATTTTTCACTTGAGCGA